TGTGGTTCTTATGATCCGTATACACGATGACTGGACTAGAAGCGCCTTCTAGATAATGACGCCATTCTTGAAAAGAATCTACAATTGCAAGAAGTTCTTTGTCGTGGATCTCATAATTGATTTCTGCTGCTGAGAATTTTCTTGAATGAAAGGCTACTGGATGAAGTTTGTCATCTGTTCCCATTTGTGATAAAACCGCACCCAGAGCAAAGTCCGATGCATCTGTTTCCATAAAGAATGCTTTGGAAAAATCAACACGATACAAGATTGGTGCAGAAACAAACGCTGTCTTCAAAGATTCAAAAGCAACTTCCGCTTCTTGATTCCATTGGAGTTTGTCTTTACAAGTCAAATGTGTAAGTGGAGCTGCAACTCGAGAGAAGTCTTTGATGAAGATCCGATAGTAGTTGGCAAATCCCAAAAAACATTGGACATCTCTTACCATTTTTGGGATCTTCTAGTCTATAATAGTTTGAACTTTCTTAGGATCCATCATAAGTCCATCATTTGAAATGATATAATCTAAGAAATCAACTTGAGTAGTGTGGAATACACACTTTTCTATCTTGGCATAGAGTCCTGCATCTCTTAATTTTTGTAACACACGACGAACATGAAGTTCATGTTCTTTTGGATTCTTAGAATAGATCAAGATGTCGTCTAGATAACATACCACAAAATCGTCCAAAAACTCTCGAAAAACATCATTCATTAGATGTTGAAAAGCTGCTGGTGCATTTGTAAGTCCAAAAGGCATGACGTTGTATTCAAAATGTCCATACCTAGTTCGAAACGCAGTCTTCCATTCATCTCCTTCTTTGATGCGTACTAGATTGTATGCTCCTCGAAGATCTATTTTTGTATAGATCTTAGCTTGATTCAATTGATCAAGAAGTCCGGATATTAAAGATAGTAGATACTTGTTTTTGATGGTAATCTTGTTGAATCCTCGATAATCAACACACATCCGTAATGATCCATCTTTTTTCTTCACAAATAGAATTGGAGCTCCTGCCGGAGATTTAGAATGGCGTATGAAATTCTTGGCTAGATTTTCTTCAATATACTCCTTGAGTTCAGCCAACTCATTTTGTGATAAACTATAGATTGGTCCGAATGGCGGTTGAACTCCTTCTTGAAGGTCAATTGAGCAATCATAGGGACGATGTTCCGGGAGTGTATCCGCATTCTTTTTTTCGAATATATCTTGAAATTCTTGATATTGGCTTGGAATGCTACTTGAAGTCTTTTCACCAGTAGAAATGGGTGTAGCATAAATAATGTATGGTGATTCTTTCATAGCAGCATGCAAGAAAGCTTTTGCACCTATAAATATGGGTTTAATTGAACTGGACTTATGACTCTCTACTTGCTTAACTACACTATTAGTTATACTTTCAAGGAAAGTGAGAGTTCGGGAAATCCTCTCTATTTGAGGGTTGTATTTTTTTAACCACGATAAACCTAAAATGACTGGATTAGAGGGAGATCTAATGATATTAAATACTACAAAACTATTATGACCATTGATTATTACTTCTATAGGAAGAATTTCGTGAGTAATATCTCCAGAAGACAATGGACGACCATCTATGACTTCTACATGAACAAGTTTAGTTTTCTTTACTAAAGATATGCTATGTCTTTTAGTAAATTCTTCATCTAAAAAACACGCTGAGGCTCCTGAATCTAACAAGGCAGAGACTTTGTAATGTTTAGGTCCTAAAATAACATTTAATGTAAAACAAGGAGAGGGCTCTGAGGAGAGAATAGGACCTTTACTAGAAGTTGTGCAAGGTTTCAGCCGCACGGTCCCTATTGTAGTTGGACAAACTCGTTTTCTGACATATTATCTTCTTTCACAGCCATATTTCTCATTTTGTGATTGCGTCGTTTCTTTGGACAATGCTGAGCAGTGTGCTTTGGTTCTCCACAATATAAACATAATCCTTCTTGACGACGACGAGTCTTTTCTTGCTCAGTAAGAGGTTTGAAACGTACTGCATCAATTTGCATATCCTCTACTTCCAAATGTATGTGTTGAAGAGATGTTGGTGTTGCCATTGAATTATAGTAATATTGAGGTCCACTTGTACGGTTCTCAGATCGGAATTCAAAAAGGCGATTGTCGCACTTCACAGCAAAGTCAATTGCTTGACTCAATGTTTGAGGATCAGGTAAGTTGAGCATTAATTTTTTTACCTCATATTGTAATCCGTAGAGAAATTGGCTAATAAGTGCAGCATCATCCCACTTGATATCAGTTGCAAGTTATCAAAATTGTGAAGCATATAACGTTATTGATCGATTGCCTTGTCGTAAAATACAGATCTTATTGGTTGCAACACGAATTGCATCATGTTCTCCATACATGGATCGAAACTCCGCCAAAAAAGCCTCTAGATTATCCAATATTGGATCTCGTCATTCAAGAAAAGATGAAAACCACGATAGTGTCGAACCTGAAAGAAGCGTACCAATGAATCTAACTTGTGATCCTGGAGTTGGATAGCTTTGGGGTTGAAGTTCAATCACAAGTTGCACTTGATTGATAAATCCTCGAAACTTGGATCTGGTGCCATCAAACTTCTCGGATAGGGCAATTCTTGGTTCTCTAATATTTGAAGGACGTTCCACCATAGGAGAAAGGACATGGTTTGGTGCAGATGTTGAAGCAGCTCCAACCATTTCTATATCTTCACTTCCTGCCAATCTTGTTGCTCCTTGTGGTGGTAAATTGAGTTGATGCATCGCAAGCATTAACTCCCTCAATTGTTCTTGCATTTGTGCCATTGCACTCTTCATTTCAAGAAGTTCTGCCATGATAATTCTTAGAAGAGAGAAGATGTCTAATATCGCTCAAGACAAATAGAAGAGAGGACTTGCGGACAAAGAAAATACTAAAGACAATATCAGTTTAGAAGAGGGTAATCCGCAACTTCTAATACGCTTATATCTTATCAAGAAAAAGGGGTAATCCACTCTTAATCAAGATTAGACAAAGCTCTGATATTGTAAGTGTACTCTTGTCAATCTGTCAAGGACAAGAACTCGATGAAAAAATAATTCAGACAAGTGAGCCTTCACTCAAAGAGAGGTAACAAAATATATATAAACAAGTATATATATTGAAAGAGAAACTGGAATGGCTATTGCCAAAAGACAAGAAAACTAGAGACCCTTGAAACTAGACTAGAAGCAAGAAAGGAGTTGACAAGAGTGAAGAAGCCTTCACTCTTGTCTCTATATATACTATCTAACTAGGGGCTACGTGGCGACGTTCTATAGGACCTCCAATATGTGTTGACTTTGTAGGACACATGCCTTGACTTACAAGGCAAGTTTTTCTACGTGTGGGCCACATAGTTAACTTGATCTTCAAGCTAACAACATGTGTGGCACATGGCCAACTTGTTGACCACGTTTCTAATCCAAAAAGTCAATTAAAGATACCTATGAAGTCAAAGCAACGTCTAGGAAGCTTCTAAGAAGCTTCCATATTAAATATTATAGAATTAACTTACTTTTATCTACTTTTACTTACTTCTACCTATTTCTATATGTAATTATTAGCTTACATGATTATAGCTGTGACAATATGTTGCTTTGTAATGTATAGAGATCAACAAGATTATTATGTAGTTCTCTTATAAACTTAATCAAAAAATGATCCTTAAATCTTATTTCAACAATGTTACTTACATAATATTCAAAGAGAGGATTTAGAGTATTTGTTTCTTGTTATTATCATCATTATTTATATATTCTTTAATGACATATGATATGGCATTAAAGGCCAAACCACGTCAAAGTAGTATGTTTAGTAAATTAATCTATTTTAAAAATCTAAATTAATTTGGAATTTTCTATGTATTTGCTATTTTCTCATTGATTGGAATTTTCATCAAACTTAGAAGAGTATATTGGAAGAAACCTCCTTGATTTGACATCCTTATCAAGTCAAGTTTTGTAAGTATTTTTTGTAAAGAAAACTTGTGTAGGGAATTTCTTACAATTATAGAATATAACCTTAGATTCTCTTTCTATTGGATATTCTTTTTGTGAAATAAGAAATAACTTAAGTAATTTATGGTGATTGATTAGGAGAATTAGCTCTTGTTAGGACTAGAATCTCTATGTTTTCCTTGAAGATATTTTTGTTATGATATTTTATTATCACACTTGATGTTGATTTGTTGCACTTAATCCATTGTGTATAGTAATCTTTATTTACATGACACTAAGTATCTACTTCATGTTTTTGCTTTCCACCAAAATCTTAAAGACGACAACTAGTTTCAAAAACCTTTGAAAGACATGCTGTGGTCGAATACTGGCATCAATCAACATTATCAATTTTATTATAAATGTTGTATTACAATCAATTTAGGTGAAAATTTGACAAATGATTCCAAGTAATCGACATGAATGTCGTATTGTAATTGACAACGAGTTCAACATGAGGTCTTGGCTCATTATAATGTTTTTTTTCTTCTAAATAGGGCCTTACCATGTAGGCACAGCCTTGGCTGTTAGAAACTCCTTCACCCCAGCCATCGGACCCTGCGGATATCTAGGGCGAGACTCAGGGCGAAATCCAGGGTGAGAAGGGACGACTAGTATAGAACGACGAAGACGACGTCGCCGCGCTCCAGGGGTGATGGAGCTGGAGCTGGTTCTTCCGCCGCCGCCGCCGCGGCTGCGTGAGGATGAGGTACAGTGGACGACGCGGAGTGCGACAATCGAGCAAGTTAGAGAAGGAAGGAATGAGTAAATGAATGAATGAAGGTGAGGGAGTGGAACGAAGCGAGAGAGCGCGCCAGGAGCAAGGAATCAGGGAGGCGAGGAAGAGGAGGATTGGAGTCAGTCAATCGCGCGCTGGACTCGCTCCGTCGCTCCCGCCTGCTCGCTTGCGAGTGGCCCCCACCCAGTCATCTCCACCTCAGCCCCACCTCAATCATCACGCGTCAGCCGATCGATCAATCCCATTCCATTGCCCTCCCCACTCCCTTCTGCCTCCTCTTCTTCTTCCTTCTCCTCTGCGGCATCCAGTTTCGGATGACTCTGTATCACCAGGTCGCCTACCGGCTGCAGTATTGAGTGTCGTCTTGCCCGACGGCATCACCAATCGCCGTAGTCGTTGCGAAATACCCTACAAGTGATGTAGGCCGCGCGTGACATGGGTTGTCGCTCTCATGGTGTGCGAATTCGCGTCTCTTCACGGGGTTTTTGGCGCGCTGCGTGGATGGGCGTGGCTTGAGCTCTGCAGGGGAGCACTAGGCGTGGTGGAAGCAGGTTATCCTTAATTGGGTTGTTGAGTTTCTGCGATTTGGGTTGAATTCTTGTGTTGAAGTGGTGGAAGGAGTGTGAGGATGGCGCATAGGATCCAAGGTACAGACGAGGAGGATGAGTTCGAGGAGCTGGGTGATGAACAGAAAGTGGCCATCGGGAAGTGGTTCTTGCTAAACGCTCCCCCGGGCCAAGTGCTTCAGGTCGCGAAAGGTATCCTTACGGCCTTTAGGCTCGTGTGTTATGTTGAAGATCTTTTCATGTATCGCGCACTCGATCGTTGTCGTGCAATCCCATCAATGTTAGCCTGGTCTAATGTGATTCCTGGTGGTTCGTTGCGAAATTTAATTTTGAATTCATGAGAGGGCGAATCATTTGACCGTTTCCGGATAAGATTTTTTCCGATCATTCGTCGATTCCATAGATAAGTGCTTCATCGAGGATCCCCAGTGTCGTATTCCCGTCTTAGATTCCCATTTTATAGCTAGCTGCCTGGATGCGTCCAACCGTTAGGGTAATTTAAGCAAGCTAATGTCGGTAGGCTTCGTGGAAGTCGAATTGCGGTAATGTGTATTCCAAGTGATCGTCGTACTCACGAATGTGACACCGCCCTAGTGTTGGAGGAAGACTATGTATCGTTACTTTTCTTTCCCATTCTTCTCTCTTTTTTGAATCAGTTTACAATATTCACTTGTCACTCAACATTTTATGTGACGTAATCTTGTGTGATTTTTCTGGAGGGTTTGCACTCCTGTGAATTATTTTGCACTGGCTTTTCTGAAATAGTGAAAGATTATGTTAATTAATTGAGAACGGCACTGTGGCCATTATGATAGAAGCTGTAGATTCACAACGAGCATATGCCAGATACGTCTCTGGTACTACCGAACTTGGATATCGCTGAACTTTCATGCGCTGAATTCGTTTTTTAGTCGTCACGAATTTGTATACTCGCCGAAAAATTCTTTTGCGAGTGAGGATTATGTTTGAACAGAGCATCATTCGCATCTGCTGATAATGAGGGACGATGGATGCAGATGTTCGAGAAGTGCTCATGGATGGTCGTCTTTACGATCGAGCCATCTCAGAAGCTTTCCCAGAATATAATGTGAAAAATATGATTTCTCTGGAGATGCCCGATGGCAGTGGCAAGGTATAGTTTTGGCAACGTTTATATTGTAAATTGCTCTCTTGACCTGGGGTTCTTGCTGCTGCAATCAGATTCTGTAGTGTTACCTTCCTGAATAATGGTATCACCCACTCAATATCCTGCTTCTGCAGCTTATCTGTGCATATATTTGTAGCAGCACCTTTGTCAGTTCCCTGGAAGACTAAGACAGAAAGCTTCTAAGGATATGCTGGGAAGAGGTGGTGTAAACATCTGAGAATGGTTGTGCTGATTGGCAGGCACAATATGCATGTGGTGGCAGGTGCTTTTGACGAAATATGGGCAACTGGATAGTTCGCGTTTTCTGGACCCTCGTACGGCTAGTGTGGCCATCGTGGATCATGTAAAGCAGGTATTAAAAAGGGTGCTTCCGATCAGTTTTGCATTTTATTAGGTCTTGTATAATTTTCCACTCTTGCGTTCCAAATGCAGTGCCCTCAGTAAAGTTGATGGGAGCTGTTATCAGTTAAAAGGTCTGTTATAATCGCATGAATACCAAGAGCAAACAAAATAATTTTGTGCTTTGCTGAGAGCAGAAGTGTACTGAGGTGCGTCCAGCAGATGACGAGGAGCTTCCGTCTGCATATGTGGAAGGATTTCGGTATGCCTTCCTTTCAAGTCTGTGTTTTCTTTTTGCTATCCAACCTTAGTTTATTTCTCATACAGAGGTTATCCTGCTTTTGACATCTTGTTTTTTCCTACACTTCAGAGTAAAATATGAGCGTCAAGAGTCATATAGTTTATCCTTTACTTAAGTTTCTAGGATGTTTAGTGTTTTTTCCTTACAGTTTAGTATCTCTGAACTTTGTAACACCAGTATGGTATGTGCTAATTTGCCTCACACGTGAGCAAAGGTTGTTAAGCTTTATTTAGTGTACTGATGCTTTTTCTCTGATGTATTACTTCTTTGATTTCATGTTCGAAAAACTTCTTACAGTGAGTCTATTGAACAGGTTCTCTGTGGATGTAGCTCTTATGAAGTACGTGGAAGAGGCCTTTCAAGGAGGTGAGTGCTCAGTGTATTGCACCAAAGGGAAAGATCTCGAAAAGTCCAGAGGCGAATTCGAGCTCACAGTTGTCATCTCCAACTCAAGCTACAGCCCTAAAAACTTCCGGTATGCTTTCGCAAGATCCGCATCTAGACCTATATATATATATATATATATCAAGCAATTAATTTTTTAAATCCTCTCAAATGCATTTATGTACTAAAAAATCGTGTAGACTGCCCATGCGTTTCCTTGTCTTGACGTGTCTTTTTTTGTGTGTATGACATGCATTTTTCCAGTTGGTTACCCTCATTTCTTCATACAGAAGATTTGAAGGTGTAAATTGTATGCAGTAGTGTTGACCTAAAGGCAGAAAAAAGTTGCAGGTTACTCTAGCATCGACGAGTGCATGAGTACCAATTATTGTGCTAGTGATTTTGCATGCAAATTGTATTGACTATTTTTCTGTAATATGTAATTTTTACATCTGCTTCCCATGTTACAGTGGTGGATGTTGGCAATCGTATGGAAAG